ATATATATTAAGATAAGCAAAATAGAAATATCCCAAATGAGCCCATCAAATTTCAAAGAAAAAAAAAGGAAAAAATCTTGTAAAAATAGAAAAATAAAAAAAATAAATAATACAAAATTTGTTTACAAAAGATGTGCAGAATCGCATTAAATTCATATTGCGGTCTGCCAACGGCAATGATAAAATATAAATATTATAATTATAAGTTCAAGAATCCAGCAGGAAGGATCATCTGCAGCCTGTAAGAGATGTAATAATAATAAAACAAGATGAGGAGGGGGTTAAGTACAGAGCACGAAAGCTGATGGCCGCACCTAATGGAGGTCACAGATGATAAGCAGAATATTTAATTGAAAAAGGATATTTACATACAGACCCGTTGAAAAATATATATTTGCAAATTAGCCATCCAGGTTTTACGTGTGTCACGATCAAACTATTGAGAATTTGATAAAAAAAAAGGAAAAATATGGGTTGCATTTTACCATGAATTTTGATATTTGAGTGAGAATTTCAAAAATGGAGGAAGGAGGGCGGTTGATTTGTAAATAGCAAGTATCAGGAGGTTTGTATGTAATTGCCCTAAAAAAATGCTATTTCAGCTTCTGAATAATATCAATAATCTTCATGTGGCAGAAAGAAAGCATCCATTCCATTGCATAACATGGCTAACCAAAATAAATGGATGAGAAACAATGTTAGCTTCTCAATGGTTGTCATTAATATTGTCTCAGAAATTAGGGGTATAAATAAATGACACGACACGATGAACTGATATGAATCCAATCTGAAAATTTTGGGTTTGGGTTGACCTAATTAACTTTCGAGTCAGGTTTATGTTAAAGAATTCTGATCAGTTTAATTTTCAGGTCAGGTTCACGTTGACCCTCCAACCAACAATTTTTTTTTAGAAAGATTTAAATACATTATGTATTTATATATCTAACCCCAAAACTTCAATTTTTTATGTATATACCACCTTATCTATAAATGAAAATGTGCACTTCATTTTTAAAAAGTTAAAATAGTGGTACTAATGATATGATATGAAATTTTAGAATGGTATAAATATAAAAAAAATAATGAAGTTTAGCTGGTAGATATATAAATATAAAAGCTTTGGGTGGTATCCAAATACCCCAATGTTGCCTTAAACTTAATTTCTATTAATTCACATTTATTATTTTATAAAGTATTTTTATCATGCATTTATGTATCTTCTCTGTATTAGTTTTTTTTAATTAATTTATTTATAATTGTTTATAAATAAATTAAACGGGTTATTCGGGTCAAATTTCGGCCAATCATGTTATAAGGGGTTCAAGTTCGAATTGACACCTGTAACAGAAACTAAATTGTTACTTGCTAGATAACCGTACCTGAAAGTGTGGAGGAGAAGCAATTCCAATCCCTTCCACAATGCAGCATCAGACAAAACTGTAGAGTTTATGATCCACCTTTTGCAGCAGTTGACTCTACACCATTTGGCGCGTCCAAAAGGCTTCCTCATCTATCAGTCAACTTTTAGATGGCTTTTAGAGCTTCCCCTAAAACAAATGCCCACTGAGTCCAATGTGTTCCTCCCTGTGTTGTGTCAACAGAGGATAAAAACTTTATTTAGAGCTCATTTGGTTGCCTAAGCTTTGCAATTAGTGTGAATCAGTAATTACTAGTTTGGATATTGTTTAAATAATACATTTAAGATGAAAAAAGTGTTAAAATAATCCCCTAATTCTTCACAATGGGGGTCTTTTTACTTCGAGTCTATAAGAGTGCCAATTTTAGTCCCCAACTTTTGCATGGGGATTAATTTGGCACTTTGAAAGACTCTGGGACTAAAATGACTGTAAATAATCAGGGGACTAATTTGACACTTTATTTAAAACACATTGCTTGAATAAAAGTGTGCATTTCATGGGAAATGGAGGTGATGGCTCCGCTGGAGATTGCCATTGCTCCAACGGAGATCCTTGAAGATGGCTGCAGGTCATCGGAGAGCCAACGACGGGTTTAAAGCTCGCCAAACCCGAGAACTTCTCGTGATTTCAATTTTCAGTCATGTTGTGTAAAAATGAAGTCCTTAAACTTGGTGTAAGGTTTGCAAATGGGTGGTTCCTAATTAATCCAATCAAATGGTGGAATTCGACAAATTTCATTATTCAAGCAACCAAATGGGTCATCAAAATTGAGAAATTCTGGAAATTCTAATGTCTAAAATATTTTTTATATATGCATCAATACTATTGATATTTTCAGAAGAATAAATACGAGGAACACAACTAGCAGATCACTAAACACCATGGAAAGTATTGCGTAGAAAAAAGTATTTACATATCTCATGTCTAAACTTTCATATTTACACACATAACACTCAAATCTTTGATATCACAACAAAAATAGCACTATTACCGCTTTTTAAAAGTGAAATACATATTTTCATGCATAGATTTAGAACACCAAATTGCTATGTATGTAAATATGAAGGTTTAGGTTGTGATATATAAATACATAAGAATTGTGTGCTAGATACATAAATTTCCCAAAAGAAGTACTAGCTTTCATGAATCACCTGGCAAAAAACTGAAAACGGTTCCCGCAATGGACCGTCGCATGAAAGCTCGCTTGTGCTTCCATCAATAAATGTTCCATCAGCAAAGATCACCTATTCAATTGTAAAAGGAAAAGTGACAAATTCTAGATGCAACTTGACACGGAGAATTTAAGCGAACCACCCAATAAAGCACATACAAAACTCTAAGATGAAGCTTGGAATACATTGGATGTTGAAGTGTTGAACCTTTATAAATCAAGTATCATACTCTAGGAATATTTACATACATACCACAATCCCTGTGTATTTACATATCTAACACCTAAACTTCAATTTATGCATGTATGCCATCTTACCTATGATTGAAAATGTATATTTCACCTTTTAAAATTTAAAATAGCGGTCTTTTATATGATATGAAAGATTTCGGTGGTATAAATATAAAAAGCAAAATTGGGGCGTTAGATATGTAAAAACATAAGAATTGAGTGGTATGTATGCAAATGCCCCTATATTCAATCATAATAAATTGATGATCTTTGGAGTTGAAGTTTAAAGGAAACACAATTAAACCAAGCTCATCTAGCAAAATAAAAAATTAGCTACAATTCAATTACCACACCAACCACCACTGCACCAAATGATATGTATATAGTTGCTATATCAATCAAATTACTTCATCAGGAAGGTCCTTTTTTTCAGATATTAACTACGAGAAAAGTGTCAAAACGGTCCCCTGAATCTTAGTCGGAGGTCATTTTAGTCCCAAAATCCATAAAAATATCAATTTAGTCCCAGACTCTTTCAATGGTGGCTAAGATAGTCCTCCCACAGAACTATTTCAGCTCATATTAAAATACTTTGGGCACCAATTTTGAATTTTTATAGATTCTAGGACAAAAATGACACCATGTAAACAATCATAGGACTATTTTAGCACTTTACTCCTTCAACTTCAAATAGGTAACTCTTTTTATTGTTCAAGCATAAGATTCACTGAAAACATGAAAATAGAACCTCTGAGGCATATCCAGGTGTACATCCAGCAGTTGGTTTGATGAAAGATCCTATGGGGCAACTTCTCTGAACAGCCTCACAGAAAGCAATAAGACGCTCACGGCTCCCCAGCTGCACAGCCTGGAAAATAGAACATGGCCACAAAGCGTACAATTTTCTTTAAACAATGTAAAATAAATTTTACAGATAAAGAACTTACGGGATATAAAACATTAAAACACATCGTAATATTGATACTACTAGCACACAAAGTGACTTCACAGTGTAAATTATGTAAAAGCATTACATTGTCTTATATAAGCACAAATTTATGATACAACCGTGCAAACAATTGAATTTACAAAAATTCAGATAGAAACAAGCTATGGTCCCACTTTATAATATTCCTATTGATATATGAGATCATATTTCAACAACTATTCTATTAGAGAAGAACCTGAACAGTATCGTGGCGACGATGCCTTGGAAGAGGCTGGACTTTATATCCTTTAGATGCCATTACATCAGCAATGAGCAAACCTCCCTGGTAAATGGAATAAAGTAAGTTATTTAACTTGTGAAGATAAAGCTGTTAATTTTTCGGCACCTTCATTGCTTCTCCAACCATTTGGGGTGAGAGGAATAACCCTTGGAAAAGCAACCTCATTACATCGCCCGGAGTTGACCCACAATCAACCCCGAGACCAGGTGCAGAGAGGCGGGCTGCGGCCATCTCAACCAAGGATTTCGTTCCGGCAACATAGCCTCCACAAGGCGCGATTGTCCCACCAGGATTCTTTATCAAACTTCCGGCAATCAAATCTGCACCCTGTAAAAGGAATAGGGGTGACAATGACATTATACAACTGACTAGGGATGTAATGAGGTGAGTCGAGTCGAGCCACCATTGGCTTGAGCTTGAGCTTCATTAATTAATCTAATTCGAGCTCGAGCTTAATTCTATGAGTTCGAGTCAGCTCACGAATAAGCTTGCATTATGAAACAGAGAAAATAAAATTAATTCAAGATAGCATTACAATAAAATGACAATAAAATGAACTAGGAGAAATAATAAAAAATCACTTGAAATAAAATGTAAAATATTTTTTTGTTAGACATTTTAAAAAAATTAAAAAGAATGACTTGAATTTTAGTATATAATGAGCACATTTTATATTAATAGTTTTTTAAATGAGTTGGACAAGCTAATGAGTCTAGTCAAGACTAACTTGAGCTTGACTTGTTAGCTCATCAAGCTCAGCTCACAAGACACTTATTTAGCCGAGCTCGAGCTGTCTCATGAACCAACTTGGCTCAAATTACCCTCCTACAAATGAGTCAACTTGGCTCAGTTACTCCCCTACAACTGACACGCGACAAGATGCAGAATATTTCAGTTCATGGCTCTTACCACCATGGGTGGCTCATAAGCTTCCACAAATTCCCCATAGCAGTTGTCCACAATGACGACGCAGTCTGGATTTCGCATCTGAAAAAGCTAACTGTGCTTAAGTGCATGATTAAGTTGTGAAGATTTGGCAAAACACTAATTAAAAGCAAAAAGGAACTGGTAGTGTTACCTTGATTATTCTTATTGCCCTTTGGATCTCTAATATGCCTAAGCTTTTACGCCATGCATATCCGCATGACCTTTGGATGAAGGAACACTTCGTTTGGGGCGTTACAGTGATAGCAAGAGCATCCCAGTTTAGACCACCATCTTTTGAAAGCTGAAACGAGAGCCCCATCGAAGTCCTCCATCAATACATTAAAATAATGAGATAAGTGTGAGATAAGTGTCAAATAGTCTCTTGACTCTTTAAAGAGGGTCATTTTAGTCTCAAAGTCTATAAAAATGTCAAATTAGTGTCCAGTTTCTTTTAATATGAGCTAAAATAATCTCTATGAATGAATATTTCAGCCTCAATCTAAAGTTTTGGGACTAATTTAGCATTTTTATAGACTACGGAACAAAAATGACCTCATATAAACAGCTGGGAGAATTTTGACTCTTTACCCTTAAAATAATGAAAAAACCGAGAATGTGCAAAAAAAAAACGAAGAGAAGAAAATGGCTTTAGGGAAGTACAGGGACTTCTCGATAAGAAACTCCAAAGTCCTTCAAGGATCCAATTCCAGGAGGGTTTCTGATTCCAATGACTTCCTCTAAGGTGTCATAAGGAGCTCCAGCCACTGCTAAAAGCTGGCAAATATTATCAGTAAAAAGCAAAACAAATGTGATTAAGAAAATTGGAATCAAGTAAAAAAAAATTTACCTCATCCCCAGGCCGCAGAACAGCAAATAAAGCACAAGTGATGGCATGTGTTCCAGAAAAAAACTGCCAGATAAAAGAAGGACATAGAAAGGTAATTGGGCTAAAGTGCAAACGTTACCTACCTACAAATAGTTGAGCTATAACTACACCTGTGACCGAACTATTGCTGATTCCGCTCCAAACACTTCAGCAAAAATATTATCCAACGCCTCCCGTCCCCCACCTTCATCATGCCCGTAACCTGTGCTTCCACCAAAATGCTGATAAAGAGGACAGCATAAGAATGGCGTGTGGTTTGCTTGAGAAGCAGAAAAAAAACAAAAATAGAATAAATTTGCAACAGATATATATATATATATATATTTAAAAAGCCCAAGGGCAATTATACTAAAGAGAAAAGGGTACAGATATATTGTATGAGTGGGCCCATATAGGCAGCCAACCCACACGGTACAACACAAAAAAAAAAAGAAAATTAAAAAACAAAAAGAAGTGGTACATATAAGATTAATCGGGTCGACCCAATTTAGTTCTGCCTCAGCCTCTAGTTCTCGGAAGGGAGTCAGCTAACAAATTGGTGAGATACATACCATTGCCCGAAGTAACCAAAGTATCATCCATTAGATTCCTCAAATAGATCTCCAGTCTTCTTCTTCCTCCTGGAAGTGTAAACCCGTCATTCCTCATCCAAAGATTGTTGCTCATTCGGATGAGGTAATAATGCTGCAGTAGAAAGATTGTCAACAGTTGTGTCCACAAGAGGTTCAAATGTATGTGAGGTAAGAGTTGTCGCCTCTACCCCTAATACTTCCTGAGGATGGGGAGCTGCAAGGTTCTCCTGATTATTACTCCATGTAGGTAGGGGTCCTTCAGTATTGTTTTCAATAGGGTTTGAAAGTGTAGGTTGTTCAACAGGGCCATCTAGCTTCTCATCGATCGCAGAAACAATATTTTCAGGGGGAGGGTCTACAGGGGAAATAGAATCAGACACCAAATCCTGTCCTGTCGTAGTTTTCTCTCCAGGTGGAACAGATACATCCTTAGATCAATCCTTATTCACTTGATCTTTAGATTTCAAAATAAGATGAAGCTTATGACATTTATCAAGGGTATGCCCAAACATCTTACAATGAAAACAATAAGGAGGTATATGATCCAAGATGATTTGTTGTCAATTTCTATCATTAGTTGTGCCCAACCAGATTTCAATAACATCAGATAAAGTAATATCTCTTTCTACAAGTATTCTGGCCACAGAAGGTCTGGTAAGGTTGAAAGTGGGTAGATCTAGCTTCATAGAGTCCCCAAGTATGACACAAATAGAATAAAGAACCTGATGATGAAAAAAGTGAAGCTTGAAACCAGATAGACTAAACAATACTGGTAAAGTAGGAGGTTCATGATTGGGGTCAAAATTCGGAGACCGCTTGAGTAGCTTCATTGGTTTAACAGCAATATTAAAATATTTTTTGGAGAAAATCCAAGTGTAGTCTTTAGACACGATTGACTGAATCAAATTATGCATCATATCGCTTGTATGAGTTGTATTCATGCATTGGTCGAGCAAAAGTCAAAAAATATAGTATAATCAATACAACATAGCGGTATAAACAAATTAATAAAGAAAACTAATTTATAACCAATAAAAATAAAAATTAAAAGTTCTTATTAGGAAGCTTCATTTTTTTTATTTCAAATGTTATACTAGTCAAATATGATTTCTCATCACTTCTATACAACTGTGTTGTATCAGTTATACTCCACCTTTTTTCGAGCACAAAAAATACAGGGGTAAAACCAATATAACATAACCAAGGAAAATTTTCAAGATCAACTGATTTGTAACCAATATAAATTAAAACTGTAAGTTTTTATTTAGAAAGTTTTTTTTCCCGATTGTTCTACTCGATGAATTATACAGCCTAGCGCTTCTGTATAAGCGTGTTGTATCAGTTGTACTCATGCATTTCTCAAGCACATGTCAAAAAATATAGGAGTACGACCAATACAAATGATTGTACATAAGAAAATTATAAATATCACACAATCTATAACCAATAAAAAATTAAAACTGCAAGTTCTTATTTAGGAAGCCTTTGTTTCTTACTCAGTCAAATAAGTTTCACATCCCTTCCGTATAACCGTATTGTATCAGTCGTAATCAACTTCTTAAGTCAAAAAGTATTGGAATACAGACAATATAACATTATTGCACGAAAGAAAATTTTGAAGATCGTATGATCTGTAACTAATAAAAATTATAATTGCAAGCTTTCATTATATACAACCAAGTTGGCATATAGAGTTTGACCTCTTATGTGCAACCATATTGTTCAACTGTAGTTCTTCTTTACAACATTTATAAATTCATCCACTCAATAATATTCATCATCATCTTGATATTCCATTGATGGATGTCTTATACTAGAAGATGAAGCAAATTCCAGTTAATATAACTATTTATTAACATCTGATAACAATACTATGCAAAGAAAAATTATTAATTTTTTTACAATGATATCTCAAATAAACATTTGGACATAATAGAGAAAGAGATTGTTGTGAATGACTCTTCATCTTCTCCAATTATTAATTATTTATCTTTTCTCTGTCATAATAATATTGAGTGAGAGGTAACATCAAAATAACCTATAAGAAAAATGTTAAAATAACTAATATAAGAATTAATATTATATTTTTTTCTCTTTCTTAATGTCTTTTCAATCTTGCATTGAAAAGTCTCTTTAATCATATCTTGGATGGTTCTTTTAGTCGAATATCATCTTTTTCAACAATTTTGTTTCTCTTCGCGAGCTTCATTAATAAAGGTGAATTTTCAAGTATTAGTTCAATATCATACGATAACTTCTTCAATGTGTCTAACATATGTTGTTCATTTTTTTCATTATCTTGTGTTCTACAATTTATTTGATATGAATATTTACTGATATGCTTTCAAAATATGACAAGAGAAAGAACCACTACACGCTTGTAACTTTTTTATTTTTTGATAAGCACTCTTGAAGTATATATTTTTCTTTACTCAGCAAGACAAACCTCAATAAAATGTACTTTTTTTGGATGTTAACAATATGTTGTTGGCACAAAACTTTGATATAGTGAACACAAAATAATTCAATCGTCTTAAATTTCTTGTAATTGTGTTGTATGTTGGAACTAATTTTGTCAAAATAAATAATCCAAATTTTAGAATAATTCTTATTCTCTAAGTTTCAAACCATGTATTCTAAAGAGTATTATCAGAAATTTCTGTCAGTAAGCCACCAATCTATATGCAGAAATTCTTCAAAAAAATATATATAGCTTCCTTGGGTAGAATGCAGCAGCTTGCTTCAGCATAGGTCTGCTTCTAACAACAAGAACAATCCCAGACCGGCTAAATTTAAAATCCTTGTATTATTCATTTATTTTTCATGTATCCACGACTTTCTCTAATCCTAAAAAATAAGCAGTAATAGAGCTTGTAAGTTTAGATATTTTATGACATACATTATTTGCAAATTCATTGGGTTGATTTGATAAATTTTTTTTGCATAAAATATATTTATTGAAAGTTGTTGACCACTTGCTTTTAATTCTATATGAATTGTTTAGCCAAGAATATTCACGGAAATTTCTTTTTTTTATCATCTCAGAACATACCTACTCAAACTTCTCTTTTGAATCACATTTATTTATGCAAGTGTCAAATAATCTTTGTATTCTCATATTACTGTTGAAATAATGCACTTAAGAAAGTCTTTTTAGCGATATGATATTAGCATAATCTATGTCAATGTGAGACAATACAACTTTTATAACTTTCATCATCGTTGGTCTTCATGAATATTGTTGAAGGATACTTATCATCTATTGTGTGAATGAATGTTTCGAATAGCTATGTGAATGGCTCAATTATCTCTTACTGATAAAAAAACTACTCCACATAAAATATTTTTGCAAATAATGATTAACTTTAACAAAAGGAACACAAACTAAATTATACTTATTATGTCGATAGCTTATATCAAAAACTTTGATATCCTCAAGGTAATCATAGTCAAACATTGTCATGCCATCACTCCAAAAAAAATATTCAGTTTGAGTGATCAAATTAAACATCCAATGCAAACATATTATCTCAAGATTGTTTTTCCTTGAATATTTGCATTAAAACATTAGTATTTTCATTCTTAATTCATGTTGTTCTCTTTTTCTGGATAATATTAAATGCACTCTTCTAAAGTCCCACATAATATACTCCTACCTTAGCATTATAACTGAATACATCAATCGTTGAATTCCTGCTTGTGTCATCAACTACAACACAACTGTTTTGTATTCACTCATGCCCCGATATGATCTCAACATATGTTGATCAGCTGACATGGCTAATGAATGATGAAGATTTTTTATAAATATATTAACAGTCCAATTACCCATAGGATCAAGGACAAATCAAATCATTACATAACAACCAGCTCAAGTGAGTAGTGTTTGGTTTCTGAAACTTCATTATATATTTAGATTGGGTCATTTTTTAAAACCAAACTTTGAGCATACAAAATCTTTTGATTTTATAGTCCTTGTATATAATCAGTAACTGATATTATCCCTACATAAATGAGCATATCTGCAATACAAATCATAAGTCCCATTTCATTGAGAACAACCATACTAATGAACATTTCTGTGTTTGGTTCAAACTTTTTATGACTTGCATCATTGTTTGCAAGTTCTGACACCATGACCAACATATTCACGAGTTTGTTGCCTTTTAACAAATTAGATGCAAGGGTACAACCAATGCAACATGATTGTATTACACAAAAAGTTGGATAATGAATAAAGTAAAATGCTCTCAATTAAAATAATCCAGGCAGTAGTAAAACGAATACAACATAGTTGTACGCTAGGAAGTCATATGTGACATGAAGTAAAACACTCCAAATTGAAAATCCAAGCTTCCTAAATAAGATTTTATCTGCTCTAAAAAATTGTTCGTGTAAATAAATGGCATTTTGAATTTCTTGAACACAAATTCAAAAAATGCATGAGTGCAATCAATACAATATGGTTGTACTCAAAAAAATGTTGCTTACTCTAAGGAAATATCCAAACTCAAAAACTACAGTACAACTAATACAAATACAGTATAATTGTACTCGAGGAAATGTTTTATACTATATGTAGTAAAACCCACCAAATACAAAGCTTCCTAAAACATGCTTTAGCTGATCTAACCGAATAGCGTTAAGAG